CCTGGCACTACTCTGCAAACTCTGCTCCTTTGCACGGCTGTGGGTAAAACAGGAAGAAAGATGTATTGTGACTCTCAACTAAGAGGAAGATGCCATAAGCAATGATGTGTTAGCCAGGATGTTAGAAGAGGCCATTGCATACATCAGATGCAGAACTCAATTAGCAGGGGTAATTACAGTTTCTGATTTGAAGGTTTTTGCAGCTTACGCAGCTTCCCACCCTTCTTCTCAGCTTCTGTGTTGTCCCTGCTGAGGATTTGCACTGCTGCAGGTAAAGAGGCCCATCTAGACAGCATGGCCTGCATGCACAGGCTCGAAGGCTTTGGCTGCTACAGTATTGGCACCCGATCACGTCACAGCCAGGATGACTCAGATGCTAAACTAGCTGTCCATGCTCACAGGTGAGCCTTTGAAAAGAAAATGTGCATGGACCAGCTCCTGAATGCTTTTGTAGATATGCCAGCACATGACCTGTGTGGTCCCCTTGCAGTCCTACTTAGACTAAATTTGCGAGTAGGCAGTGTTCTCACGCAAGAGGATGGACATTTGTCATCTAATTGATTAAATCTGTATTATCCAAGAGGGTGTTCCCAGCCAAACAGTGAAATGCTTCTAGAGCATTCCAAAACAAATCCCAGAATGACCTGTGCTGCACCCATACAGAGCTGCTCTGACCCTGCACTCCTGCCAGTCTGGGAAGTAACGTGGGCTTCAGAGCAATCAGCTCTGGGCATCAGATTTTGTAATAACAGAAAAAGGTGGCTAACTCTCACTCCCTTTTCCTGGTTGTATGGTGTGAAATGCTTCTGAAGCCAGTGGAGTTGCGCTGCTATAAAACCAGATACAACAGAGCAGGTGAATATCTCAATATATCTAATATTGATAAAGTTCATAATGTCAATGCCAACAGAGTCCAGAGCAGGACTGGCCTCTTGGATTTGCCTCAGTAGATTGCACCTTAGCACTATTATTTTCATCAGGTTTTTGTTACTTTGTCATCTTCCTGGGTATCATCAGAATAAACCTCATCTTCCAACTCCTCAAACCCAAGCATACCCCTCTAAGTTTTGGGATTGGGATAAAGAGTACCTTGCTTAAATTATATCCTTTGAAATGAGACACTTTGCACAAAAGACCTGCCAAGTTCCCATCAGAAGAGTTAGTTGAAGACTGGGGGAATGGAAACACTGGCTGCAGCTAATTTCTTTTTTTCTATTTGTTAACCCACATTGTCCAAACACTATGAACATTTGGTGCATTTAGTTCTAAATATGCCAAATTCTCCTTTAGGGAAAATTTTCAAAAACCTAAAATCATCTCTTAAGATCAAATTCATTGCCTAAGCTCAAAATTATTCTTCTCTACACAAATAAACCACACACACATATACTTGTGTGCTTTGTCTGCACTGCAGGAATTGTCCTGGGATAGCACTGTGCTGTGTGTGGAGCCCTGCTAAAAAGCCTGGCTTTCTGATAATGAGAGAGAGCTGCAAAAATTAACACATCGTTGTGGGCAGTGGGAAGCAAGAATGATTATCCCAGAATATAACAAATCTAAAAATAAATTGCCTTCATTTTCACCTATTGCACACTGATGGGGGTAAAACAACTTTAATTAGTGTAACAGGACAATAGCAATGGAATTGGCTTGGTCACAAGATTTTTGCATGATGACACTGATGGTATTACTATCCAACTTCAAAGATTTGGAAAGATGTGGCTGCTAACACTGGAGAATAGAAACCTGTTTTTCATCAACTAGGCTGGCCTGACAAATTAAGTCTGTGGAGTCATTAGATTAAGATAAGAGCTTATCTCCTAGACTGACATTTATTCAGAGGTTTTTATGCTGCTCAGCTAGTAATTAGTGCAGTTGAATTTTTAACACTGCTTTGTCCAGTCATTTGACAAATTTGAAATATATATGGTTTTGATTAAAAAAAAAAAAAAAAAAAACCAAAAAAAAAACCACTAACTAAAATCCAAGAATGCAATATTATCAGCTTGGAAAGGTTTTAAGAAGGGTTGAGATGATGCTAAAAATCTTCAAGGAGGTCAGAAGCACTTCTGCTGTTGACTCATTTCCATACACAGATTAAGAAGGCTCCATAAACTAAATTTTTAGGCACTAAGCAGCAGATATGTGTGGCAAATCAGTAATTTCTTTCATGCCCATCCATTTTGTAATTCTCCTGCTTTAGAGGGGCAGGAATATGGTGCAGGCTGTGGTCCTGCTTGTTAATGCTTGTCTGCCTCCTTCAGCACTCAGGTTAGGATTTCAGGTGGGGGCAGTTTCAAAAGGAATCTTCTTTCATATGGCTAATTTCATGGGATAAGATTTATTTTTACTGTCCTAATTTTCTTGTAATAACATTGTTCCACAGTAAACCAATGCATTACTTTTGGACACATGTTTTTAAATTGCTTTAGACTAACAAGTATCACTTTTTTAAAACAGTTCATTTTGAGTAACTGAAGATCAGAATTGGATTAATAATTAGTGATTAAATGGATGATTATTTGTTTATGAGCTTTGACAGGTTTTTTACAGCTACGTCCTGTTACAGCATTTGTTTTGTCCACAGTGTAGCCATCTCAGCATCTGTAGTTACCTTTAGAAAAACACAGACTAGAGGAGTTTATGGTAGTAAATTGTGGTTCATCCAGCTGCTTTAGTTCTGTGATTACTGGCTTTCACAAAAACAACAACAAAAAAGACCGCTGGTTTACATTTTACACCATACTGCCAAGAACTCAGTGGGCTCAGGGCCAGGGCCATCATCTGCAGAGGGTGACACATTGTCACTCACCTGCACTCCTGAGCTTGAAGCAGCAGTGGTAGAGTAGGACACAGGTTCTCAGGCTGACTGGGACCAGGATCTGCATGCTGGTTTTCCATGTCCCTTTCTGTGTGTTTTCATCTCATTTATATAATCCCAAAGCATGAGAGGAGTTTTAGCATCTCATACGTACAACAGGTTTTCTATGGTTGGAATGCCATGAATGGGAAGTAAGGCATGAGTCAGGGGGCTACTTCAGATCTTTGTACAGCCAGGAATGAAACCCTGCTGCTCTCTACTTTCTGAGCCAGATCCTTGACCTAGACTTGCCGTGACTCCTGTTTCATTGCAGATGGTTTCAGCCCTCTGTGTCTGCTAAAGCCCTTGATACTTCCCATTGGAGATGTGAAACCCTATATATTTTGTATATATTTCATGTATGTGTAAAATTCAAGCTGTGTGGCAATCTCTGCCATTGGACATCCCACCATTCCTGGTCTGTAGCTGAGATCTCAGCTTGTGATCAGGAATGCCTAGAGATAGAGATGGAGACAATATTTTTGCTCATAAAATTGCTCGTAAATGGAAAAAAAATTACATCAAGCTGAACCACTTGCATCAATTCCCCAAAAGCTTGAAGTACTGTTTTGCTCTCTAAATTTTCGCTGTTACTGCTGCCTTTGCTGTCAACCAGGTCAAACATCCTGCATAATTCCCCATATATATCTCACTTCCCAGCAGAGAAAAATGAAACCCCTTCTTGGACCTTGGATGAGCGTAAGGGAAAGACCCAATTTCTGAAGCCTCTAGAGAGGAGCATGGCCTCAACAGAGGGAGAAGGAGGTATTTAAATTCAAGCTTCCCAGGATTTGTGGCAGCAGCATCCCTATTTTCCTGTATTATTTTACTTTCTTGTGTTGTGCACTGCTATGTTGTGCATTGCTGCAGAAGCTGGATAGTGTCAGCACTACCCTGGCAAGCTTCATCTGTTGAGCCGTTAGACTAAAGGGGAAAGTTGCCATCACCCAGACACACCAAAGAACCAAAGACTTCTCCTCTGGGACAAAAGCCCAGCTATGTGAAACTATTAACATCTCCTTTTGATGGGCTGGAGATTACAGCATAGAGTTGTCTTGATGTTGTCTGTCACAGCTGTCTATCAGCAGTGCTGTCTCATGGGGCAGTTCTCTGGCCCCACAGCCTTTTCAGACCTACCCTGATGCCACCATCCTCGTGGAGTTCCATGAGACACAGCACTGACTTGCCCTTTTGCCTTCGGCCAACAATTTAAAGACGATTGCTGCTTGAAGGAGCACGTAAATAAATTAATAGTCTTTGTTCTGGCCAAAGTGTCTTGAGTCTGAGACCTTCACTGGCCCCACACAGAAAGCCAAGGATTGACAGAGGCACTAGCAAAAGAGAAGTCCAAACAGGTCAAGGGAAGGGGCATTGCAGACTAATAAAACCTGTTACTACACAGAGAACTTTGCTCAACTTCTGATGGCAGAAAAGACAGCCTAGACTGGCAGGTAAATCTCCCTGAAAATAGCAGAAATCAAGGTTAGACCAACATATTTATCCCAGGTTACTTAGAAAATATGGAAATACTGTAAAAAGAGAACTGGAGATTTTACAGAAGGAAGGTGTCATTGAATGGCAGTAACAGTACAACGATGCTTTACTTTGCCCTCCATTTTTCAGTGTCCCTCTCCCAGGCTGATGGTTGCTCTTCAGCATTTGGCCAAGGTCAGACAGGTGAGAGAGAATTTTTTCTGAAGTTTCTAGTGTTCCTAATCAATTTTTAAAATTATAGTAAAGGGCAATAACTTTTTTAAACTAGCAAATATATTTTTACTGTCACTAGAAAATGGTGCCTGTGAACTTGGTTGTTACTCTGATTTTTTATGGCTGCTTTTGGCTTCTAAGTTTGGGCTAAGGGGTAGTCATGTCCCAGAAAAAAAATTGTACTTGCCCTTTTTAACCAAATTCCATAGGCTGACATTTATCCATGGTAAATGTTTCACAGTACAGTAAATTATGCAGGAGGTTCCACACAAACATCCTTTACTCTCAGAAATTAAGGTAAGCGCTCAGTAGCACAAGTACATGGTATAGCCATCCAATTGTTTGTGTTTCCCCCAGGAATTCAACACTTTTCATAAATAACTACACTTTGCAGATTCATAACACAAATGCTGTGACCCCACAGGACAACCACAAAGGTAAACACCTCTCATTCTATTTTATAGCACTTAAGAAATGCAAGCTCAAGGCAGGCTGTGAGGAACATCTACACTTAAAGAAGTCTTTCTGGAAAGCCAATGGAAATTATGTGCTCAAATATTAGTGGTAAGTCAAGTGGTCAGTGGTCAATGCAGCTGTTGGGTTGGTGGGTTCCTTTGCACCATGTTAAAGCCCCTCTGCAACAGCCCAGCCTCTCCCCAGTTTGTTTTTCTGTTGTATGTTTTTCATTAAACCCTTTGCTGTGACATGCCATTGCCAGTGTGCCAAATCCTGAGCAAATCATATCCTCTGTTCTTCTGTTGCAGATTTGTGAGATAATCTATTATAGATTAATCATTTCAGTCTTATGGTGCAATGTCAAAAATAAATTTGGGTTATGAAGCTGGAGGGGAGCCACTTGGGGGTCATGTGTTCTCCCTGATGCTCCTTATTTGACTTTGAAAACAGCGTCATGACAAGATTTTTGAAGCTGATTGTTACCCCATGGAATCCAAATCACAAGGTAAAAATGCTGTGGAGTAAGTTTTCATCTTCACAAATATCAGCTCAGTGTTGAACTGTAAACGATTTTCAAGCTATTGCCTTCCCTCTCCTCACAACATGAAACATATCTGGGCTGATCCATTACATCTCTTTAGAATATAAGATGGCAGAAAAATAGAATAAAATAAAAGCCAACCCATTTTAAGGACTGAATATCTGCTGGAGATGGAGGTATCCAACACAGAAAAAATAATACAGGCCAGGAACACAGCCAAATATACTGTAAGAAAATATTAATTTGCATCATTTTAGATATTCTCTAACATTTTATAAGATCCCAAGAGCTGAACAGTGATTGTCTAATGCTGCAGTTTCTGTTGCCCTCCCAGCTGAATCACAGTAAGTCCTTGGTGTCTCCAAACCAGATCAGGGGTTAGTTCATACAGAATCATTCTCTTCCTTAGCTTCCTGGTCTCTTCTGCAGAACAGGAAGATCCACAATCCTCTCTGAATTAGGTATGAACTGAGAAATGAGACATCTAGTTCTATCTGTGCTGCCATGTACCATCCACCTAGACAGCAAGGCTTTATCCTGCCATCAGTTATTGAATACAGACCTACAGTGACTTCATGACATGCTTCACCTTCCGAGGGATGGCAGAATATTGTGGGGAATACAAGGAATGGAAAAGCACAATTTTTGTTACAGTTTCTTTTACTTGCATGCAAGTAAATCAAACCAGACTCCATGCTGAGTGATATATCATGTAGCCCTTCAATGTGATATGTATTCGACGATTTGTTTTTCACTATGGTAGCTTTTCACAATCCGTAAGTCAGATGGAAGGTAGAGAGATTTCCTAGCTTGAAATGCAAAGTGATTTTTTTAAGATATGCTAGGGATTTTTTTCCTTACCAAGAACAGTTACTGAAGAATACAGATGAAATTATGTGCCGGAGCATATTCGCTAATGATTTACTCAAAATATGTGCCAGAGCATATTCACTACCGATTTACTCAAAAGATGTGATGGCATACAGAGTCCCTTACAGAGTTCGTCTGAGCAATTAATGCATTAGAAGTGTGCATTCAAGCAAAATAAGACTCTAGCAATAAGATAACCAACAGAAGAAAATTACTAGCATAGTGCAAATCTGAATTGGTTTGAATGTATCCATTCATAGGTCTGCACCCAAGACCTGTCTTTTGCATTCAGTGGGTAATTATGGTCACATTTCCAGCTCACAGAATATTCTGAGTTGGAAGGGACCCACAGGGATCATCAAGTCAAACTCTCTAGTGAATGGCCCATATGGGGATTGAACCTTGGTATTATTAGCACCATGTGCAGCATCATGTGCTAAAAAGCTGGATGTCTGACCCTAGTTAGAGAACACAGATAAATGGATAGCATGTCAAAAAGAAAATATGCCTTTAAAGTATCATTAGAACATTGATATGATTGGTGAATCACAACAGTATGTTATTTAAAAAGTGATGGGCAGAAAACCTCAAAATACATGCTAATTGAGCCTAAAAAGGAATTTTCTTTCCTTGCTTTCCCAGCAAAGGCAATCCTATCCGACCAGCTCTGTTTACTCAGCCTCTCAAAGGCCAATTCCTGTGTGAACACTCATTTCCCTTGGGAACAAGGATAAGAACCAAGTTTATGCTCAGCACCAATCTGACACGGGTCAAAGGATAAACTAGGTCTAATCTAAGACCCAGGCTTGTATCACAGGATGTCAGCATAACGAATGCCTCTAGGGCCAGCTCAGAGCAAATCAGAAATCGCAATTAATACATCCTGAGGTTCTCATTATGAATTGATATTTTAGGGACTCCACATGCTGCCCTGAGGACCTCTTGCCATGTTTTGTACACCAGAAAACCCACACTGTGTTTATGTGCTTAGACCTTCAGAGGTTTTTGGGCACTTGGGTACCTCACCAACTTTTATTGTGTAACCCGTTTTAAGTCATGTACTTGT